ATCGGAGGGGGAGACGAACCATGAGAGACTATGGACTCTGAGAAACAAACTGAGGGTTCTAGAGGGGAGGGGGTGGGGGAATGGGTTAGCCTGATGATGGGTATTAAAGAGGGCACGTATTGAATGGAGCACTGGGTGTTATACGCAAACAATGAATCAGGGAACCCTGTATCAGAAACTAATGATGTAATGTATGGTGATTAACATAACATAATAAAATTAAATTAAAAAAAAAAAAGAAGGCCATTTTCTAATAATAATAGAGTTAAATTATCAAGGCATAACAATCCTAAATATTTAGTACCCAATAACAGTGCTGTAAAACATAACAAGTAAAAACTGACAACTTCAAGGAGAATTAGAAGATTACCAGAAGATTAAATTCCTCTCTCAATAACAGCAAGCAGACAGAAGTTTAGTAAGGATGAAAAGTTGAACAACACTATAAACAATTTGACTTAATGGATATTTCTAAGACATTCTAGCCAACATCAGCAGAATGTACATTCTTTGCAAATGCACACAGAACATTTGCCAAGATAGACCATATTCTAGACTACAAGTCTGAATAAATTTAAAAATATTTCAAGCCATACAACCTATATTCTCTGACTACAATATAATTAAATTAGAAATTAATAGAAAGGTAACTGGAAAATTCCCCAATATTTGGAAACTATATGGCACACACTTCTAAATAATTCATGGGTCAAAGAACAAATCCAAATGGAATTTGGAAATATCCTGAACTAAATGAAAATGAAAACATTTATGGAGGGTTGTTAAAGCAATACTTAGGAAGCAATTAATATCACTAAATGCCTATATTTGAAAGGAAGAAGCCTCAAGTCAATGACCTTAGCTTTCATTTTAAGAAACTAGAAAAAGATGAGCAAATTTTACTGAAGTAGAAAAAATAAAATAATAACGATGAATGGAAATCACTCAAGTAGAAAACAAAAACAAAAAAGCAAGAAAATCAATGAGAGCTAGTTCTTTGACAAGATCAATAAAATTGAGAAATCTCTAGGCAGACTGATCAGCAATAAAAGAGAACAGAAACAAACTGCCAATATCAGAAATGGGAGAGATAATATCCCTACAGATTCTATATATGTTAAAAGGATAATAAGCAAATATTATGAACAAATTTTAAACTAATGAACTTGACAACTGAGATAAAATGGACAAATCCCTTGGAGGATACAAGCTACCAAAAAAACTTTTCCCACCACACGCTCAGATAGTTTTACTGGGGTATTCTATCAAATACTTATGGAAGAAATAATAACGAATCTATACAAACTCTTCCAGAAAATCAAAAAAGGAGGCAATATTTTTTAACTTATTCATTGAGGTCAGCATTATTTTGATTCTAAAACCAGACAAAGACATTACAAGGAAAGAAAACTACAGCCCAATATCCTGACTGAACATACAAGGAAAGATTCTAAACAAAATTTTAACAAATCTAATCCAACAATATATAAAAATGATAACACAACATGAGGTAGAGTTTATTATGAGGCTGGTTTAATATTCAAACATCAATTGATATTGATATAACTAATCATATTAACAAACTACAAAAGAAAACCACATGATCTCGATACAGAAAAAGCATTTGACAAAACTAACATTCACTTCTGATAAAAACTCTCACCAAACTAGAACAGAAAGGCACTTCCTTAATCTGATAAAAGGCATTTATGAAAAACCTATAGTTAACATATTTAGTGGCGAAAGACTGAATGCCTGCTTTCTAAAATCAGGAGCAAAGCCTGATTTTAGGAGAAAGCCTGGAGATCAGCTCTAAATACTTCTATTCAGCATAGCCCTGGAAGTTCAAAGCAGTACAATAAGCAAGAAAAAGAAATAAAAGGCCTCGTATTGAAGGGAAGAATTAAAACTGTCTTTAAAGACAGACAATATGATTATGTGGAAAATCTATTAGCCTCTATAAAAAGCTTTTATAATTAATATGTGAGTTTAGCAAGTTTGCCAAATACAAGATCAGCATACAAAAATCAACTTCCATATACTATCAGTAAAAACAAAACAACACCATTTATAATAGCATCCAACCACATACAATACTTAGGGATAAATCTGACAAAGTGAAAGACTGGTACGTTGAAAACTACAAAATGTTGCTGAGAGAAGTTCAAAACATAAATAAATGTAGAGATACAATTGAGTTCACAGGTTCAAAGACTTAAAATAGTTTCATTAAGATGTCAATTCTTCCCAAATGGAATCTGTAGATTCAACACAATCCCAGTTAAAATTCCAGCAGGAATGTTTGTAGAAATCCTTATAAAGTGATTCTAAAATTCCCATGAAAATGCAAAAGATCTAGAATATTCAAAACAACTTTGAAAAGTAACAAAGTTGGAAGACAAACACTGCCTGATTTCAAGAATTATTATAAAGCTATAGTAATCAAGAAAGTAAAACAGATCTGGATTCCAGGTATGGCTCTAACAGGAATACACAATGAGATGAATAATAATGCAAGCTTGAAAACTCTGTATGTGTATGACTGTTCTTTAAGAAAACCTAAAGAGGTAACTATATTTTTTATTAGATATTTTCATGTAGAAGATACAGTACCTAAAGGGAGGAATTAATTATTGCATTTTTCTTGGTAAATATATCTGTGTGAAAGCATTCTTTCAACTAAATATGTAACCAAAGGATTATCTACTTCTATATTATTACTGAATATATAAAAATTATAATGGCCCTGGGAAGCAATATTATTTTTGGACATGGTATCTGTATCTATATCTATATCTATATCTATATTTATATCTATATCTATATCTCAAACACCTAAACCTCTACTCTAATCCTAATGGATAAGACATATTATCTTAAAAACATCAGCATTAGGTCAGTAAGTAATTTTACTTACAAAAATGAACTGGGATTGGAATTCTTCAGTACATGAGGAAGCACCAACAAGCTGATGATTGTGGTTTGTGACTGGAAGGGTTTTGAGGGTAAAGTTTTTTCTACAATGAAGTTTTTCTCTTTTCCCCTGTTAAGAAGAGTTAATAACAATTATTGTAGATACTTCTGTCCTTTTTAAAATTTTTATTCCTTCTTAAATTTGTGTAGTGGAATACAGTATTTCTTTTCATGGAAACTGCTTGAAAAACTCAGTAAATTTTAAATTCCTTTGAGATTATTATTTTTTTAATACAAACTAGTATTTATTAAAAAATAATTTGCCATTCATACAATCCTCCAAATAACCTAGAGATCCCCTTTCCCCATCCCCCGCCCCAGGTCAAGAGAGGCCACCATAGAGAGGCAGATTTGGTCTGAAGTGCTTACATCCACTCTCAAATTTTATTTTAAATTGTTTTCTGGTGGTATGCACTCAGCTTGTAAAAGAGACAGCATTTTTAATACGAAATTGGCTGTCATGTTTACTTTAAGGATGTTACTGAGGTCTTGTCCACTACATTAGGCAATGTCTCCTTTAAGAGGCCTCAAGAGAAACATTCTTTTCATAGCTATTGCTGAAAAATGTTTTGCTTCTCCTTAACAGAGAGCATGAGTTTTAAGAAAATGTATTGACTGTGCAATCCAGGTAACCCAATGTATTCTATTCTTTTTATTGGCCGCTAGGAGACTAGAGCTGATGTTCTAGCATATGAACTAGTATGTATTATATGGTATTCTGTAGTGTATAGACCAATATTGCCCTTTTTTATATATAAAATCTTTTTACAGGCAATATTGGTCCACATATAACATAGCAACAACAGTACGAGTTTAATCTCTGCGATTAGTTTAAAGGAACTTCCTGAAAATAACTCTGAAGTTCATCTAGAAACACAAATTTTCCTAAAAAAAATAAGAGTGCTATTGAGAAAGAATATGTCCTACCACTTATTAAAGATACATTACTCAATAACAATAGTTAATAGAATGTGCTACCCTCTTAAAGATGAGACAGGAAAATCTAGAAATAGATCAAGTGAATAAAAGGCTTTAGGAAAAAAAATTGCAGTCTAAATAAGTGGAGAAAGGCTGGGGTGCCTGGGTGGCTCAGTTGGTTAAGCATCTGACTTTTGGTTTCAGCTCAGGTCATGATCTCAGGGTTTTGAGATCAAGCCCTGCCTCTGGCTCTGCGCTCAGTGGGGAGCCTGCTTCTGTCTCTCTGCCCCTCCCCCCACCTCAGACGCACATGCATACGCACCCATTCTCTCTCTCTCTCTCAAATAAAATCTTTAAAAAAAATAAGTGAAGAAAGGCTATAGGGGCGCCTGGGTAGCTCAGTCGGTTAAGCGTCTGCCTTGGCTCAGGTCATGATCTCGGGGTCCCGGGATTGAGTCCTGCATCAGGCTCTCTGCTTGGCAGGGAGTCTGCTTCTCCCTCTCAGTCTCTCTCTGTGCTCTCCCTCTTGCTCTCTCTCGAATAAATAAATAAAATCTTAAAAAAAATACTTAAAAAAAGAGAAAGGCTATAAATCATGTAAAAATGAATTAAGAAAAAGTTATATCCTTAATATGTAATAAATCATGTTGAAATTCTAGCACTAAAAATTTATGTAAAAATGAAAATCCTTAGAAAGTAGAGAAAAATAGGGAATATTTATATTATCTTAAGGTGGGGAAGGCTAAAGGCAGATAATTCAATAGAAAATATAGAACTGACTATTTAAAAGAGACATCTGAATTTCAAACAAAACAGAAAACTGAAACCAACCTGATAATTAGTACTAAAAACAGCAAAAAGTAATTGCAACACAGATGTCAGTTAAATAACCCATATCTTCAATATGTAGTGTTTTTACATGTAGTTTAGAAAAAGATGAAGACAGAAAAGGACCTCAATAAGTAACCCACAAAAGAAAAAATATAAATGTCTACTAAATGCATAAAAAATGTAGAGACCAATATTCAAAAATAAATTAAAAATAAATTAAAATGCCATTTTTGCCTATCAATTTTAACAAAGGTTAAAAACACAACTTACTCTGAGGACTAGGGTGGATGGATACTTTCATGCAAAGGTAATAGGGGAGTAGATTGGTATAAGCTTTCTGGTGGGCCTTTGGGGATCTGTATCAAAAGCAAAGGCTTTAAAAATGTGTGTAATCTTTGATGCAACAATTTTATTTCCAGGAATTTAGTTTGAGACAATAAGGATATGTACAAAGATTTGGCTAGAATAATGTTCATCACAGCACTGTTTAAAATAGTAAGTGATGATAACCTATATACAATAGTAATTGGTTACATAAACTGTTGTTCCTACATCAAATCAATTGCTACATGGTCACTAAATATGTTTTGTAAAACTGATACCACCAGGTACTGACAAGGATATGGAACCAGAGGAACATTTATATGTGGATGGTGAGACTACAAATTGGCAAAACCACTTTGGAAAATGATGGCAATACTGCTTGAGCTGGACATACACAACCCTAGGACCCAGCAGTTCCACTTCAGAAGAGGTTTCATTTCAGCAGAAATGTGAACCTACGTGCACCCAAAGGCACATGGACAAAAACACTCAGAGTTGCATCATTCATAATAGACCTGAAGTGAAAACCCAAATGTTTATCAACAGTAGAAAAGCAAAATTATAGTTTATTTAGATAATAGAATACTATATTGCAAAGAAAGTAAATGGACTATTATCACATACTACAACACTGGGTGCCTGGGTGGCTCAGTTGGTTAAGCGTCTGCCTTCCACTCAGGTCATAATCCTGGAGTCCCAGGATCGAGTCCCACATTGGGCTCCCTGCTCAGTGGGGAGTCTGCTTCTCCCTCTGACCCTGCCCCCTTTCGTGCTCTCTCAAATAAATAAAATCTTGGAAAAAAAAAACAAAACATGGGCGAATCACACATACAAAATGTTGAGCTAAAGAAGAGTACATACTGACTCGATTTATATGAGAGACAGTGATAAAAGTCAGGATAGTATTTACCTTTGGGGGTAGAGTGACTAGAAAAGAGCATGAAGGAGGCTCCTGGGGTGCTGGTAATATTTTATATCTTGGTTTAAAGGGAGTTAATTCACTTTATGACAATTTATTGCTAGGTACATTTATGATGTGTGCACTTTCCCATATGTATATTTTAGTATAAACTTTATACTAAAATAATAATCAATAAAAATTGATGTCTATATAGGTTTCTCTTAAAAATATTATCTGTAGATCTGCAACACAATTGTGTGGGATGCTTGTTAAAATGTGCAGCTTTCTGGACTCTAGCCCAAACTTAGTGAATCAAATTATCTGGGGCACAGGATTCTCCATTTTATTTTATTTTTAAAAAAGATTTATTTATTTTAGAGAGAGAGAGAGTGTGAGCAGGGGGAGGGGCAGAAGGAGAGAATCTTCAAGTAAACTCCCTGCTGAGCATGGAGCCCTATGCAGGGCTTCATCTCATGACCTAGAGATCATGACCTGAGCCAAACCAGGAGTAGGTTGCTCAACCGATTGAGCCACCCAGGTGTCCTGGATTCTCCATTTTAAACAAGCTCCTTGGATAATTCTTATATAGACTAAAGTTTGAAAGCCATTGTTATGGAAAAACATTTAACATCCTGGAAAGTAGTAGTTAACAGTGGACTCTGGAGCCAAAATGACTGGGTTCAAATTCAGCCTCCACCATTTAATAGCTGTGCCACCCTGGGGAAGGTATTCCAGCTCTCTGGACCTAAGTTTCCTCAAGTAGTAAAATGAGAGTAATAATAGTATTTATTTCACATGGTTGTTAAGAAGACTAAATGAGTTTACATAGAAGGTGCTTAGAATAGTGCCTGGCACATAATAAACACTATATAAATGTTGAGATGAGAGCGAGGGGGGTGGGGAGAGATATGGAAGCAAATTAAGAAAGGATATACAGTTAATCCTTGAACAATGCAGGGTTAAAGGCACCAACTCCCCTGCACAGTTGAAAATCCGTGTATAACTTTTGACTCTCCCAAAACTTAACTACCTATTGTTTGTAGACTGGAAGCTTTACTGACAACACAAATAGTTGATTAACACATATTTTGTATATGTATTCTATACTGTATTCTTACAATAAAGTAAACTAGAGAAAATGTTATTAAAATCCTAAGGAAGAAAAAATGTTTATAGTACTATACTGTTATTTATTGAAAAAAATCTGTGTATAAAGGGACCCATGCATTCAAACTCTGTTGCTGAAGGTTCAAATCTACAGTGTACTTATATTTTTGTAAGAATATTTATAGATGAATTTATATACATACACAAACAAATGACTGGAAAGATACACACTGAAGTGTTAAAAATATTATCTTTGGATGTGATTATTGTTAATTTTTTTAATATATATATATTTTAAAAGATTTTACTTATTTATTTGACAGAGAGATACATAGTGAGAGAGGGAACACAAGCAGGGGGAGTGGGAGAGGGAGAAGCAGGCTTCCTGCTCGATATGGGGCTCGATCCCAGGACCCTGGGATCATGACCCGAGCCAACGGCAGATGCTTAATGACTGAGCCACCCAGGCGCCCACTTTTTTTTTTTTTAACAGTAGGCTCCATGCCCAATATGGGGCTTGAACACAGGACCCTGAGATTTAAGAGTCGCATGCTCTACCAACTAAGCCAGCCAGGCGCCCCTGATGATTGTTAATTTTTATTTTCTTTTTGCTTCCATCATCTAATTTCCTATAATGAAAAACTTCTTTTGTTACAAGGATATAAGTAGTTTTTGAAAGTCAGTAACTTACGGTTTATTTAATTATGCCCACATTTCTTAAGGTTCTCAACATTAAAGCTAGATGACACTTGCTATAAGGGAAAAAAAAACCTTCACAACAAATTGCACAAGATATTGTACATTTATTAATATGGGAGAGAGTGAGGCAGTCTCTACTTGATCACTCAGGCACTGGAATATGACCAAGTAAAGACAGTGGTATAGTGGCCAAGACCACATAGGAGCAGGTACACTTGTGGATTACAGATCTTCCTTGACTTATGATGGGGTTATGTAAATGTAAAATACTGTAAGTTGAAAAAGCATTTGATATACCTAACCTACTGAACAGAATAGTTAGCCTAGCCTACTGTAAACATGCTCAGAACACTTACATTAGCCTACAGTTGAGCAAAGTTATCTCACACAAAGCCTCTTTTATTTTTTATTTTATGTTTTTATTTTTTTACAGAGAGAGGGAGCAAGAGTGAGAGCAAGGAGGGGAGGGGCAGAGGGAGAGGGAGGGAGGGAATCTTAAGCAGGCTCCACGCCCAGCATGGAGTCCAACACACGGCTCGATCTCACAACCCTGAGATCATGACCTGAGCATAAATCAGGAGTTGGGTGGGGGGGAATCGGAGGGGGGAGATGAACCATGAGACTATGGACTCCAAGAAAGAAACTGAGGGTTTTAGAGGGGAGGGGGGGTGGGGGGATGGGTTAGCCCGGTGATGGGTATTAAGGAGGGCACGTATTGCATGGAGAACTGGGTGTTATATGCAAACAATGAATCATGGAACACTACTAATCATAAACTAATGATGTACTATATGGTGACTAACATAGCATCATAAAATAAAATAAAATTAAAAAATATGTATATAATTGACATGAAACGTATAAGTTTAAGGTGTACAGTGTGATGATTTGACATGTTTATACTGTAAATGATTACCACAATAAACTTAGTTAACACATTAAAAAAAAAAGAAAAAAAAAAGAAATCAAGAGTTGGATGCTTAACCAACTGAGCCCCTAGGTGCCCCAAGCCTATTTTATAATGAAGTATTGATGTCTCATGCGATTTATTGAATATTGTACTGAAACTGAAAAACAGACTGGTTGTATGGGTACAGAATAGTTGTTAGTGTATTGGTTGTTTATCCTTGTGACCACGTGGCTGCAGCTCATTCCCACTGCCTAGCACCATAGGAGTATGGTATTGCATCCTGCGTATCACTAGCCCAGAAAAAGATGAAAATTAAAAATTCAAAGTATGGTTTCTGTTGAATGCATATTGCTTTTGCACTATCATAAAGTTGAAAAGTCGTAAGTCAAAGACCTTCTATACTTCCCTTATTTTCAGCTGTTGGGAAGGAGGTACCTTTCAGTGGAAGTTCATTACTGTTGTTCTGGGAACCCACAGGCTCTCCCTGAATTTTCTACACTGGAATCAGTTACTCTATGGTTACTAGAAACACTTTACCGTATATTAAGAGAGATACTAAAGGCAAGGCAGTCAATCTATAACACTAATACCACTGAGAAAAAACACAAAATTCAATTAGATTTTACTTATACAATCCTTTTCTTTTTCTCACCTTTTCTCTCCTTTCATTCTCCTGTTCTCATCTGTTTTGTTTTTCTTCCTTTTAGTTCTACCTAGGCTTTAAGCTTGAATGTATGTAGCTCTAAAGTATGCTTTGGTCCTGTTAGTGGCTCTGCTCTTGACTTTTGCTCCAGTATGAGGAGGACTGGCAACTTGGAACTTCAGTTCAACCCTCTTATTTTCCTCCATTGTTTAGATACAAATCCTGAGTTATGTTAACTCCTAAAGTCAGTCTCCTTCAACAAATCTTAGTAACATACAAATATTTCTGAGTGGTTACTGGTAAAATACTCCTACTACATATTACGAAAGCTGAAGCAGTAGCTTACAAATACAAAAACTCAAAAAATGGATTTCAGAGGAATAAGCAAACAATAAAATGTTAGCCTGAGTGGTAAAGGTTCTTCAACAGTACCATAAAAAATGAGTAATGATGGTAAGCACTGTCTCATAAACAAACCTGAAAGTGAGATGGGGAATCAAAGATAGAAGGTATGACTCCAGGTTTCAGTTTAATATTTGGAGCACTTCTGTCAAAATCTGTCTTCTTAAAGTGCCTTGAACACAACACGTCTCCTTTTTTAGGCTCCCAAATGCCTGCAGCATTCACATCAAGTCTTTTCATTGCTAATACCCATTTTCTTTTGACGTTTTCATCTGTGGGGAATCTAGAAAAAAAATACAAAAAGTATTTTAAAATTGAACACTATTGATAGATACTTGAATTAAGGCTGGACTAAACTGGTTCATTGATGAGTTTGTTATTACTCTTGGGAAATGGAATATTCAGGAAGCCATCATGAAGCATGCTTTCAGAACTTTCAGTTTTAATAGATTTTTCTACCAATCATGCTGCAGAAATACAGCCCTCATGTCAATTTTCTTCATATTATAAAGAAGAAAAGTTTCAATGGATATTATAGGAAGACCCACAACTGGAGATTTTTCTTCATCTATACGTGATAATATCACTTCGGCCTTTTCCTACATGAAGCGATATCCAGAATTTATCCCAGATGACCTTGTACTTTCATTCTTCTGTCAGCATCAGAAAGTTGTTTAGTAGAGCATTTAATACACAACAGGCCTATAAATGCTTAGTGAATGAGGCAAAGAACTGCTGCAGAGTTTGAAGTTCTAGAGATAAGAACTATTTTGAGAGATCTGGAAACCAATAACCGTATCTTTTCAATTTTCCAAGCTGATTCAAATCTTTTTTGGAAAAGGTAGGGTACACGTACTCATTTTTTGTTTCCTCATACGTAGCAAAGTAGTTAACAGATCTTTCTCTAGCACGTAGCACAGTGCCTGGCGCAAAAGCAGCAAAATAAACCTTTAGCAAATGAATAATTATTAAATCTTATTACTCCTTTCCTTTGCTGTCAGAAGAATGGCTAAAATAGAAAATTTGGAACATCTTGATTTATTGGTAATACTGCTAAAGAACCCTTGGTCTGAGCTTGTAATTTATATTTTTTTCTCTACAACATAAGTTTGATCTATTTCTAAATAGAAAGGACAGGACATATTTGGGCAAAGATCCTTTCTTGCTTCAGGTTGTAAACTCCATGTAAACAAAACTGAATTTCTTTGAAGGTATGTTAAAATGCAAAGTAATAATATTAGCAAAAATGAGCTTGATATTTTTGTTTACTAGCCTCTGATACCTTGGCAGGTATCTTAAACTTTTAAACTAAATTATAAAAATGTAAATTATCACTGTCCCTTCAAATTGAGCTAAAAAAGCTATTTACAGATTTGGGAACTAAAGATCAAAACTGAAGATTTAAGTGGAACTGTCTTTGGCTTTTTATAACAGTCAGAAGTACTTGGCTTAACTACGGCAAAATCTTACACATGAAATGTCAGTCCTTTTAACTTGGAATTTGGCAAACAGCGGGAAGCACATCCAATGGCCGAGCAACATTTCACCATGATTTTAGCAACTCATAACAGAACTGAAAGAAAATTAAAACGGTAAGAGTTAGTAACTTCAAAGCTAAGGGCAACATATTTACTTTTCCCAGCATGTTTTTAGATACTGTGAAACCATGCTAGAAAGCCAAAGGCAAATATTTTCTTCAACACCGGCAGCTTTAAAAATTTTCCAGGGGCTTGGCTCTTTATAAGGCAAATCGTATTTCACTACGCATTCTGACGTGTCTGAGTCAATCCTGCAGTCTTGTACATTTCCCTTCCGCGGCTTCTTACATGTAGGCACCGTGCCACAAGGCCTTTGCATACTAACTTCTACTCATCTTTTAGCTACGTGTTGCTTCCCAGGGAAACCTTCCTTGACACTCAGATTCAATCAGATCCCATCTAGCATTAGCTCTCATAGAACACACACTTCTACCTAGCACTTCTCAAAGTTGTAATCTTATTTCAGTGATTCTCTGATTAATGTCTTTCTCCCTTACTAGTGTGGGAGTTCCAAGAGGGCATGGTGGGGCTTGTGTTTTTTCTCGCTTTTTGTCCCCATGCTTAACTGATGACTGGCACATAGTAAACGTCAATGCATATTTGGAAGGAATGAAGAACGAGTAAAAGCAGCAGCTCGAACGGTCGGCGAGGACCCTGGCGCCTAGGAGCTGCAGGAGCAGCGCGCGCAGGTAGCCGGCTCAGAGCCCAGGGGCCCGCGGAGCTCCGCCCCTTTCTCGAGGCTCCGGGCCGCCGCAGGGAGAAAAGGAGGGGCCGCCCTGTCACAGGTGCGGATGCGGCCGGAGAGCGTCCCTTCCTCGGGGTGAGGGGGCCCACCGGGCGTCTCCGCGCCGCTAAGGTCCACCTCGCCCCGAACCACGCCCAGAGTTTGGGCCAGTAGCGATGGGGGTGGGGGTGGGGCGGGGAGGAGAAGCAACCTAAGAGTTATTACCGTTAGCAGCGAAGTCAGCGACTAACGTCGAACACAGAGATTGCATTTCCCTTCACTTCCGCCCCGTAGCCCCGGGAACCGGAAATCCGGCTGCCCCGGGTCACGTGCTCAGCCGCCATATCAGCTCGGCTGACTGCTGTGGCCGGGAGGGGGTGTTCTAGTGACGCTACTCTGGGCGAGGTTTTCATTCTGGGGGAAGGGTCCGTGGAGTTTGTGGGGAGGTGGAGGAGATGGCGGCTTCGGCGTGGGAAGATGGCGCCCGCGGCCAAAAGCAAGGGCGGCGGGGCTGCGAGCACTATGACAGAGGATGTCTCCTGAAGGTGACGACTTCAATGGGCTCTTCCTTTACAGGCTTCCGCCGGGCCGGGCGGGGGCGGAGTGGGCAAGGCGGTTAGGTTTGGGCTTAAGTTAGAGGCTAAGCCGTTTGGTCAGGGTACCTTCTCCATCTCGAATTGGGTTCCTGCCGTGGAGAACGTTTTGGCAAGGCCACCACAGGCCCCACCTTTTCTCCTGCTTAACACTTTGTAAGCAAAGCTCTCTGCTTGGGAAGGGCCTGGGCGTGCACATCAGTCACTTTATCAATGGGTTTATTTAGTCTTTTGCTACTATCAGTAGACTGAGGCAGCCCCGGGCCTGAGCTGGCTTTTCGCCAGGGTGACTTCCAGGTGTGTGGTGAAATAATGGAAGAGGGATAAGTAAGTGGAGAATCGGAATACGAATTCAGCTCCTGTAGTAACTTACAGCTTGCCAGCTTCATTTTAGAGTCAGCGAATATGCCTAAGCCTGCCAAGAAAATGTTTCTGTGAAATAGAAAGACAGCCGTGTAATTGCCATTAAATAGATTATGTGTAGGAAAGTGCCCAGTATGCATATGTTATTTTTGTTGTTTACTTTGAGGAAAATTGCTAGTCAATCTAGAACTTTTAAAATTGGCACCCGTTCAATTAAAGTTGCCTGATTTTTGTTGTTGCTGCTGCAAAAAGCAGTTTAAAGATTTTACTTAGAAAGTTTGAGCTTTGGCGTCCCACAGCCCTGCCCCCAAATCTAGCTCTGACCCTTGATAGATCCGTGCTTTTGAGCAAGTGCTCCATTTATAAAATAGAGGTGATAGAAGTTCCTGTTTCATTAAAAAAAAAAAAAAAGTATGAGGCTTGAAAGGACAATTTAGAGCCTTCTTGTAGGCCAGGCTTGGTGAACATTCCTTCGGTGCACTGGGTGAAGCTCTCTCAAAGTTAGTTGTTCACCAAGTGTTGTGTAAGCAAATTGAATGCTATCCTTCTGATTCCATTTCCACGGATATGTACTGTTACTCTTTGTAACTTGATGACTAGAACTGAATTCAGCATGTTGGCCCTTTCCCCCAAGAAACCACATAAATATGTCTGTGTTTCATAGCGCTGAGATGCTTGACCCTGAGTATCAAATACTTTTTTGCCTTCCCCCTCCTTCTTCCTGAAATACCAGAAGCCAAGTGAAGAATTTTGAGGAGGAAGTAATCAACTAAATCAAATGCTGCTGTTTGGCTAAGATAAGAACTGAAAATTGACTTTTAAATTTGGTGAGGAGGTCACTTGTGATCTTGACAAGAGAAGTTTCAGTGGAGAGATTGGGACAGAGCCTGATTGGAGTGGATTTGAGAGAATGAGAATAGTGAAACTGGAAATAGCCTTCATAGACAATTCTTGGAGTTATGTTGTGAAAGAGAGCAAAAAAAAAAGAGTCTGTGGTTGCTGAGCGATGTGGGATCATGAGATTTTTTTCCCTTTAAAATGGGAGGTATTGCAGCATGTTTGCATATTGGAAATGACCCAGTGAAGTGAAAACATTTTATTTATTTATTTGTCAGAGAGAGAGTGTGAGTGCACAAGCAGCGGGAGCTGCAGGCAGAGGGAGAAGCAGGCTCCCTGCTCAGCAAGGAGCCGGATGTGGGGCTTGATCCCAGGACCCTGGGATCATGACCTGAGCTGAAGGCAGATGCTTAACTGACTGAGCCACCCAGGCATCCCATGAAGTGATAACATTTTTTATAATGCAGGAGGGAAAGGAAAAACTGTAGGAGCATTTACTGCTCTTGAATAATCAAAGATGGGATCCAGTGCACAAGTGGAGCAGTTGGCCTTAGAGAAAAACATAAGAGAAGGGAAGACCAAGTATTAGGTACATTTGCAAGTAGGTTGATAGAGTTTGTGAGAAAATGTTTTGATTATTTCTATTTTTTTTTTAAGATTTTATTTATTTGACAGACAGTGAGAGAAGGAACACAAGCAGGGGGAGTGGGAGAGGGAGAAGCAGGCTCCCTGCTCCCGCTGAGCAGGGAGCCTGATGTGGGGCTCGATCCTAGGACCCAGGGATCTTGATCTGAGCCGAAGGCAGACGCTTAATGACTGAGCCACCCAGGCGCCCCTCTTTGATTATTTCTATTTTAATAATCAAGATTATGAGCGGAGTGTAAGGGTGGAGGAAAAGGTTTAAAGGTTTAAAGAGAGAATATGTGAAGTAATGTGAAATAATCATCTAGATTTTAGGTCCTAGACTGTAGAAGAGTGAGGGAATCGACTAGGGAAATGAATAAAAACCCACTTTTTATTAGTAATCATGACTTAGAAGTGAGACCAGTGTGTTTTTCTTCAGCTATATCTGGATATTCCTTATATAGGAGAAAATTGGATTTAACCAGATTTGGGGTTTTGGTTAGGAGAGTATGTAGAGGGAGAGAGAAGGAAGGAACTAGAGTATGTGCAAGGGAAACATTGAAGTGAGTTGGAAAGAGGAGGTAGTGGTTAGAGAATTTCATGCTTGAAATTATGATATAAACAGGATTCAGTTCTTGTTTTAGAGCAGTGGTTCTCAAAGTGTGGTGAATGGACCCCCTTGGTGATTCCTGAGGCCCTTTCGGGGGATCCTTGGAGTCAAAACTACTTTCTGATACTAAGATGTTGTCTTTTTCAGTGTGTGCAAAAGCAGTTATTAAAACTGCTGGCATCTGACCTGTACTACACCTATAGTTTTTTTTAAAAAAAAGTCTCACTTAAGAATGTCATTGATAAAATTAAAGCAATAAAATACTAATTTTATAAAATCTCAACTCTTGAATACGTGTCTTTTTACATGTTGGATGAAATGGGATGTTTTCGTCAAGCACTTTTGCATACTAAAATTAAACGGTCATTGTGAGGAAAGTTCTTATGCAGTTGGATTGTGAACTGAACTAGTTTCTCGTATAACAGTTTTTCTTGAAATCTGATTATTCAGACTTGTGTATTTGGTGGACACTTTCTTGAAAAGTGAACTGTTGAAAAGAAACTGTCATTACAAGGAAAACAATCGACAGTGGTAAATTCAAGCTTTCACATAAAAATTAGAATTTTGAGGGGCGCCTGAGTGGCTCAGTCGTTAAGCGTCTGCCTTAGGCTCAGGTCATGAACTCAGGGTCCTGGGATCGAGCCCCACATCGGGCTCCCTGCTCGACAGGAGGCCTGCTTCTCCCTCTCCCACTCCCCCCTGCTTGTGTTCCCTCTCTCGCTGTGTCTCTCTCTGTCAAATAAATAAAATCTTTAAAAAAAAAATTAGAATTTTGAAACACTTATATAAGCCTCTGTGAGCTTAAAAGGGTCCCAGTACCTAAAGACTTTGCTGATGAGATCGGTAGTGATGTTAACAAATAGGATTTTTTTATATTGCTTGTAAAATGTGTGAACATTTGGAAGAGGTATAGAACTCAGTGAACTGATATTTTCCAAATGACTAATGTGTGGGTAAAAGATTGATTCAAAGTACAAGATAGAGCAATGGATTTTGATGTAACAGAGGGAGAAAGTTCACCGATACAATTTCAGAGCCCATGTTACAACTAGAGTTGTTGAGTTTTGGTGTAGTATCAGAGAAGAGTATCCATAATTCTCTGTAAAGTCTATTAAAATACTCCTCCTTTTTCCAACTATGTATTTGTGGGAGTACAGAGTTTCTTCATATACTTCAACTAAACTGATTGAATACAGAATTTGAAGCAGAAATGAGAATCCAGCTATTTTGGGGGAAACTAGTTATTTTTCATTAAAATATGTCATTTACGTTAACATGTAATGGGTTCGTTACTGTTATTTTTAAAAGAAGTAATATTTTTAAAAACTTACAGTTTTATTTTATAGTATGGTGTCAGTAGAGATAATTCACATAATCAAAAGCTCTTTGAGATCCTCAACAATTTTTAAGAGTGTAAAGGGGTCCTGAGACCAAAACATTTGAGAACTACTGTTCTGTGGTATGACTGTGAGAATATGTGGCTGAGGAGGGTTGGAGGACAAGACCATTGGAAGAAAGAAAGTCAAGGAATTGAGAGTTCAGAGTTCAGAGTATCCATCATGATGGATGTGCAGATCACTAAGATTTAGGACAAGAGTAGTATTGGGAGAGAAAGGGTACCAGTTGAGCATTAAAATCTTTAAGGAATGAGCTGTGTTGTGGTAAATCATCAGAAATTTTCAGAAATGAGTGGATCTGGAAGGTCACAGTATACTGGAAAGTACTGGGTTAACTTACTGGCTTGGAAACTTCTTGATGTACTAGGTAGGATAAGGCTAAGTTACTAAGGGTAACAGAAAAGCCAACAGTAATGTGGGTTAAAGAATTAAGAGTTTATTTTTTCCCACCTAACAATTTCAAGGTGAATTACCCAGTTTGGTGATGAGGCTGACCCACATGATCACTCCAGGGACAAGTTTTTCCCATTGTATTATTTTGCCGTGTTTTAGGGAATTCAGTCATCAGCTGGGTTGCTGCCATGTCCAGGTTTCGTCTGATGGAAAGGGGAAAGGGAGTGTGGAGGAGGAGGCATGCCCAGTTTCTTAATACTCAGGCCCAGGAGTGGCACTGATTTCTTCTGAACTTAGTCACAATTGAGGTAATTTTGGTAAGAACTTAGTCATTTGGCCACAGCTGAAATCAAAGAAGGCTGGGAACTGTAGTATAGCTGGGCAATCATGTGTCCAGGAAGGAGAGAGAAGATTTTGGTAGTCTGCCACTCTTGAAAACAAGGACTATCTCTTCTTACACTTATTGTATCCTCTAAAATATCAAGGATATAGTTGATGATTAATAAATACAAGTGAATTAAAA